CTCATTTTCTGTCATTGGTCCCCCACTAGGGGGGGAATCCAGAAACTGGATTCTTGCAGAAGTGCTAAATATCAAAGTTAGATACAGTCACAACTGAAGCACATATAAAATTGTATCAGATATACTAAAAGACCAATCTCACAGGAGCTCTACTCCAAAACTACAGGAGACAGGACCTGTGCTATCTGTGGAAACTGGGGAGCAACAAGTCTTGGCAACCTTTCCCACATGGTGTTTGGTTAAAAGATTGTAGTTCATTTGCACAGCAGTTAGAGGCATTAGTCATGAAAGTTACCTGCTGGTGATCTCCAATGAGGATGAGGTGCTGGCAAGCTTTACTCAGAGTAGTAATGGTGTGAGCCTCGAGCACCTCTGCTGCCTCTTCTACAATGACAATTCGTGGCTCTACTTTTTGCAAGATCTGTCGGTATTTGGCAGCACCTAAGCAAAGACAAACAGTAGTAGAATATAATTATATGCAAGAGTTTTCAGGGAGGGGAATAGGCTGCGTCCCGGAAAAGACTGGATTCTTCCCAAGATTCCTCATTTTCAGGACTCAGCTTTTTAAATTCTAAAACAGCACCACACCAGGGATGGCTTTGATACAAAGTGAAGGCAAGTGGGGATCAGTCCTATACCTGCCTTGACCCTTTTTCAGTGCTTTCTTCAGACATAAGATACACTCAATACATTGATCTACACACATAAATAAACCTTAAATTGTCTCTCCAAAGGGACATACTACAATGACCTTAACACTATCATCACCAGAGGGTGCTGTGGGGATAGCAGTGCAGATATTAGCTGTGCCTTACTCAGGGACAAGTGGTGCATTTCTATTAGAATAATGCTGCTTGAGATGAGGGGAGTGCAAGAGTGCACAGAAACTGCTCATGCCACTAACTGACAACTCTCACAACAGCCACATTTGCAAAGGCCTAACGCATCTGACCCAGGCAGTGAAGCAGCACATGATACTAATCTTTTGGCAACATTACTGGAAGCAGTGCAATACTGGTTTGCTTTGCTTCCCAACTGCTGTGCACCTGTAGTTGTCATCCCCACAATTTTGGCGTCCTTGAGAATGCAGAGATCTTCCTGAAGCTTCAGTTCTTTCAGCCTTTCTGCTGCCGCCTGATACTGCAGTTCATAGTGCAGCATCCTCTGTCGAATGTAACGCTGGTAAGTCTGCAGCCAAAGCCTGAGAAGAAAGAGCCATTATCACACAGAGCAAAGAAAACAGGATGGAGATCCAGAACTTCTGAGTGGATTCGGTTCAAAACTTCCCCCATGTCTTTTGGGCAACAGGTTATTACTATCTGTACTTAGTCCTGAACACGCACACACACGCAGAGGGAATGACATCACTGCCCATGCAGTACAGGGAAAGTAAGAACAAGCATGTTCAGACAAGGAGCTGAACAGATATGGACAGAAACATTGTGGCTTGACAGAGAGTTTGCAAACTGGAATGATCCTAGGAAACACTTGCCTGACAGACCCTGCAAAATAGCTTTGTCACCTGTAAAGCCTCCAGCGGGAGTTCAGGTCAAGTTGCCACAGATCCTGAATAGCCTTGGCCTCTGATTCTGACATTGCATTCTGCTTACGTAGCTCAGCCTTCATCTTCTGTTTAATTTTCCTCCTCTGGCCAGCAGTTATCTGCAGAAAAAAATAAGCAGTTACAGCACAAAGATTCTTCTGTATTAGCCTCCCCATGTTATTCTTTACACAGTCAAGCAGAGCCAGACCATGCTAACGCAGGCAGTTACCTCCCACTGCATGGTCTCCTGTAGTGGTTGAGGTGTTCCTTCTTCCTGGTCCTCCAGCTTCATAGCCAACATCACACTGGCTAGTCTGTGAACAGCTCTGTGATCTTCCTCCTCCTTCCTCCTCCAAGGCTTTGCTGCCTTCTCATCCTCAATCATTCTCTCAGCTTCAATCAGATCAGCCATCTCCGGGATCTTCAAAAGCTCCTCCTCTTCTGCTTCACCTTCCCACTCCTCCTCTCTCTCCTGCTGACCATCTGTGAGAATCACCAGTCACATGCAGTAAGCCACAACCACTCTAGCAGAATCACAGTGCAGCAGTCACTATGTGAAAATCAGGGTTAATCTTCTTTCCACTCCCTTACAGTAACAAATTGTTCTGTGCCTGTTAAGTAGCAGTGACTCTTTTCTGGCACACATGCATTGCTTAGGCAAACACACCTGTAGAGAGGATGGGGGTGGGGTGGGTGTCTTTTTGGTGTTTAGTTTGTTTGGGTTTTTACCTGGATTTTCAGCCCATATATTCTCTTCAGCATTCTGGGTAAAGACAGATACACCAAGGCCCAGCCACTCCAGAATCACTGAGTGCTGTGAACCACTGTAGTAAAACTCCTTGTCATCCTAATATAAGGAAAGTCAAGTCAGCCAGGCCTATTGCACTTCAGTCTTAGGATGATGCCAAAGCAGCACCTTGCAGCAGGCAACTAGGACAAGTAGCTCTGAGAGACCCTTCAAAGGCCAAGCAGCCCCAGATCTCCAGAAAAAGCACCCCTTCTCCCCTTCAGTTTAAGAAACTTTCACATGGACACTTGTATTTGTATGCTGATAAAGATCACTTAGGATCTCTGCCGTTTAAAGGAGAAAAATTCAAAGCCCCTGCTTGCCCTGCCTGGTCTAGACTACTGTCATTTGGCACAGCTTGCTATTCGCTCCCTCACTTTCCTAGTGAGCCAAGTGAAGCTAAAAGGATGAGTGCTTGGGGAACCTCAGGCTCATTAGCAGAAAGGACAGTAAGCATACACTAGGACTGCTTGACTCAGAAGAAAGGGACCTCTCTTACCAGACCCTTCATCAGACTGTCCCAGTGCTGGGGCTCAATGTAGCGCACCAGGAAGCGCTCATGCAGAACTCCGTAGGTTGTGCATTCCAGCTGCTTTGCTTGTTCTTGGAGTTCCTCCTCAGCCGCTGCCATCTCATCGGTTATCTGAGCAGAAGAAAGAGAAGGGAGGCAGCGTCAAGTTCAGAAACAGCAGGACAAGGAACTGACAGAAGAACTGAGAGACCGACTTCAGCATAACGCGGGTGAAAGCCCAGGTGTGCAGGAGGTTTAGTTATCTCCTCCAGTGCAACCCAGTCCATCATCTCCAGTGAGCCCTGCACATACATTCGCGTGGGCTCTGTGGAGGTGCCCCGGCAAGTCGTATCTGAAGTCACAGCCCTTCCTCAGCTCCTTCAAGGTGAATCGCTGCAGGACCTCACTGCTACTCCTGCCCCCAACACGCACTATCCTGCTTCTTTGGAATGAGTATATTCCTGTGGATGAAAGAGAAATATTAGTACTTAAAAGGGCAAGCTCTGTTTCCTGCAGCAGGACAAGAGACAGAGAAAACACCTCTTGACTGCAAATGCTACAGTGGATTGGTCCAGTGGTTTTTTACTTTGTATCAATGAGGTCATGAAAAAACTCAATGATCACAAAAAAATGACCAAAGCAAACGGGCAGGTTATCCTCCCATAAGATGCACAGACTAAGAGCTGTAGTATAATTTACAATTATAGGTTCTAATAGCAGGTTGCCCAGAGAAGCTGTGGATGCCCCATCTCTGGAGGTGTTCAAGGCCAGGCTGGTTGGAACTTGGAGCAACCTGATCTAATGGACCTGCCCATGGCAGGAGGATTGGAACCAGATGATCTTTAAGGTCCTTCCAACCCAAACCACTCTATGATTCTACCTGACCTTCCACCCTATTTGCAGGTACTCTTACCTTCTAGGAACTGATCCAGTGCGTGGTTAGTGTAGCAGACTATAAGGATGGGACACGTCTGGAAGGTTCTTTGCCACACAGACTTATTAGTCAAAAGAGCCTGAACAATCTTCAAACCCACGTAAGTCTTCCCTGCAAAACAAGTTCAGAATCAGAAAAGGGTAATCTACCCCTTGAAACAGAGAAATCATCAAAAATAGATACAAGACTCCCTTCTAGGCTGCCAATCTGGTCTGTACCAAGAGGAATGACCCCAGGAGTAACTAGCTTACAAAATGCAAAGAAAGCAGCATGACACTGACTTTCCGGTCTGTAGCTGAGCAAGGCTGTAGCTGCAAGAATGTTGTCTTTTGGATAATACACCAGATCTGGACACAGGGTTTTCTCTGCCACTGCATCCCCCAGCCCGCTCTGAAAACAGCTTCATACATGACATTTGGCTGCACATGAAACATCCACACGCTAGTGGAATGCAAGCACTAGTGCTTGTCGAATTCAGGTACCATTTAAAAGAATTACAGTTAATCTTGTAATACTTTATTCACACATGGGTTCATGGCTGAACACTCCCAATGCTCTAACATGCTGTGAAGACAAATAGAGGGCTGCACAGCAAGAGGTACCATGTTCTCAAAGGGGATTGAAAATGTTTTTCACCCCAGTACACAGGCAGAACCAACAGTGCAATTGGGGTCCACTTACACCCAGATGGGCAATGAGCAAAATCAGATAAAGTATTTGAGGATATTACCTGTCTCCACAGCTCACACTAAGTGGGCCACTCAAATATTGATTAGGCACAGGACTAAAGCTTTGGAGACAGTACAGATGGCTTTCTCTGAAGTTAATCTCCCTAAATGGAGGAATCAAGAATGCCTTAAATTACAGAGACTTTAAGCAAATATTTCTCACCAGTCCCAGGAGGTCCTTGAATAATAGCCAGCTCCTTGGTGAGTGCAAGATTCAATGCCTGCATCTGAGACTCATCTAATCTCAAGGCTTCCATTGAAAGCCACTGCTTGGGATCTAGAATGTGGACACTTTTCAAACTAGGAGGGCACATCTCTTTATCTGATGTCTCCACCAAGGGTGCCAAGTTGTAGACAGTATCCGCTGTCAGGTATGCTGGTTTCTTCACCTGTGCATCACATTCCACAATGTACTTCTGGAATGGGACATCTTCTTCCTGCATTTCCTGCAACCCTTCTAACACATGCCGATAGGCCTCAAAGTAGGCAGTTGTCTCTACCATGAGGAAGGAGTCTGAGGGCTGAATCTCTGCCAGCAGTGCCTGGCTCTGTGCATCAAAACAGAGCTCCACAATCCCATTGGCAAGTTGTTCAGCATCACGGTTAGAAACAGCAGCAAAAAGGAATGTTTTAAAGCGATCTTTGGACATGCAGACCAGGGATCCATATAGCAATCGTTTAGAATTCTGCCACTGTACAAACTTCAATGGTTTTATGTCAAACTGGACCTTGTACACAATACCAGTCGAGGCACAACGTGGGGCGATAATGTGTGTGTCAAAATAGATCCTGATATCATCAAATTTCTTCTTTCTCAAACCTCTGTCCTCAAAGCTCTGCAAAAGCTCCAGGATACCTTCCCTTAAAGGCCTTACAAAGTCTTCTCTCAAAAGCCGAAAATGGGTGTCAAGATAAATGCTGGTGCTCTCGTATCTTCCAGAAACAATATTGGGACGTAGAAAGGGTTTCTCTTTACCGTGTACCTCATTATGCGTTGGATAAATGGCTATGGTACGATAGTTTTCTTCTTGACCATCAATCTGAGGCTGCATAAAGGTACAGTTATCAGCCCTCAGTGTGCCTTCACGTTTCTTCTCCTGCAGATGCTGCATGAGCATCTGGACTTTATTGAGGTTCTTCTCTGTCTCTTCTGTGATGTCCACACCAGAAGCTCTCAGGGCGTTTATGGATGCTGGCAAGACTGTCAAGAGAATGGAGACTTTCTGCACAGAGCTGGCTGGGAAAATACTGATCAGGTCCTGAAGAAGTGAAATGATGTTGCTAATATGCACAGGGTACTCTTGCCGTACAGCAGGAACTACTTCTGTTACCATGTCAGACACATACTGTGGCAGACAGACCCTGAGAAAGTCGGACTCCTTCACCACTCCAAGAAGCTGTTGGATACTCTGTCTATCCATTCGGGAGCTGCATGCTTTCCGAAGCACCTGGCAAATGAGCTGAAGGAAACTGGGTTTCATAGCTGTTTGGGAAAGAAGTTCCTTCAAACCCGAATGGGAAGCAAGCGTGATGACAACTTCTGAGGGGTCTTTCTCAAGGAGACTTTCCAGGAACTTATAGCCAATTCTTCTGGCTTGCCGAGGCTGCCCACTGAGGTGGGCACCACGTGGGGTAGCATTCTGGGAGAGATGAGGATTCTCACGAGGTTGCATCCTCCTTCTGCTACCTTCATTTTCCCATGCATTCCTCAGCCCTCTAGCTCCTTCCTGAGCTTGTCCACCTTGATACCTCTTTCCCCTGCCTTCATTTTCGTGCTCATTCCAAGGTCCCCTGGCCCTCTCATGTGCTTGTCTGTCTTGATACCTCCTTCCCCTGCCATGATTTTCTTGCTCATTCCAGGGTCCTCTGGTCTTCTCATGTGCCTGTCCAAGTTGATATCTCTTTCTCCTTTCCTCATTCTCCTGTTTAGTCCTGAATCCTGTGGCTTCACTGTTGGCCTGTTCACTTTGGATTCTTAGTTTGATTGGATCCTTGTTTGATTGAGGAACCCTTGAAGTCCAACCACCAAATCTCTCCTCTCTTTGCCCACGTAGAGGATTATAATTACTGTCTTGGGAGCTTTCCCCTAACTGAGCTGCCTGGCCTGCTACATTATTTGTTCTGTATCCGCCTCTTATTATAAAGCCAGTGTTCCCATCAAATACACGTCCTTAAAAAAAAGAAAAAAAAAAAGACACTGCTTAATTATCAATCAACCACATTAACCTGCCTCCCAACACAGATGCACGAGCATATTGACCTGAGAGTCAGCATACTTTGAACATTTAACATAAAGTTAAAAAGCTACTATTATATTTGCACACAGACTTTCAAATTGTTGCCTCCTTTGTACCCCTTTTTATGACTGCTAAAGACAATGCCATGCATAGAGTTCACTTGAGCTATGAAGACACTAAGAAAACTGTTTTCAGAGAACTGAAAGCAGAATTAAGAAAGGCCAAAGATGAAGATTCCTGCACAGGACAGCATTTCCTCAGGAGTTAGTCATCACTGAAATAATGACAGAGGCAGCTGACTTGAACTGACGGTATATAGTACATTTAAAACATGGAGCTTCCAGACAAAGTCCAGCTTCTGGGAGCAGTGGGAAGCACAGCCCACAGCTCCTTCACCAGGCTCCCCAAAGAATGCTCAGGGAAGCACCGAACGGGAACAGAAACAATTAGCAAGAAGTTGCTGCAACACATCGCCACATCACTTCCCCAAACGGGCTCCAGGGGCGAATAAGGAAATGCTGAAATTTAGCATTTAGAAGACTTAGAAATTTAGAAGATTTCGCCGAACGCAAGAGGGGAGCAGCGGATCCCCCTGTACCAGCACCACCCCTCCTGCCCTGAGCGACCCTCACCTGTCGCCCCACCTCGGGGCCGCCGAGAGGAAGGCTCCTGCCCAGGACCCTCCATCGCCCGGCCCGGGGACCGCTCGGGGCTCCGCTCCAGCTCTCTGGCCCCAAGGCAGTGGGGCCGGGGCGCTCCTGCCCCCCGCACACGGGCTGTGCTGCGCTGCGCTCCCCGACCAGCCCGGGAGCCGCCCCCAAGCCCAGCGGAGCTTCCCTTCTCAGCTCCCCGCAAAGTTTCACTTTCCAGTTCCCCGCAAGTCCCGCCCCGCTCCCGGCCTCGCCGGGCAGAGCCTCCCCCCCGTACCGCTCGTCACCGGCCCCCGACGCGGCGCCCCTCCCGCGGGAAGGGGAGGGAAAGGGGAAGAGAAGGAGAAGGGAAAGGCAGCCCGGCCCCCACCACTCACGGCCGCGCCCAGCGCCGCCGCTTTCGTTTTTCTTTCCCGGCTCTGCCCTCCTACTCTCTTCCCGGCTCTGCCCTCCCGCCCCTAAGCCCGGCCCCAAGCCCGGCCCAGGCCCTCAAGCCCGGCCCCAAGCCCGGCCCGGCCCCGCGCACGCGTGTCCCGCGGCGCTCCGGGGCACGGCCATGGCCACGCTGGAGAGCCTGGGCCTGGTGGGCACCATCGCCGAGGGGGACGCGGTGCCCGAGGAGCCCGAGTCTGACGACTCCGCGGATGAGGAGGTGAGGCTGGGCGGGCTCGGGGCGCGGGCGGGCGCGGCCCGGCCGGCTCGTGGCTCACGGGTGTTCCCGCAGGAGCTGTGCCGGGTGCCGGGCCCCAGGCGGCGGGGCCACAGGAGCGGGGACTTCAGCGCCGCGTTCGTGTTCGGGGAGGCGGAGGCCGGCGGGGAGGACGCCTGGGCGGCGGCGCTGCGGCAGCTCCGCGGCAAGGTGAGCGCTGGGGGCCGGGATGGAGCTTGGTGCAGTGCCGGGGCACCGGCAGTGCCAGGGGCCACAGCGCCCAGTGCTCTCCCGGGCTCCTCTTACAGCTCTTCTCTGTGATTTTCTGCCTAGAGAGCAGCTACGACGCTGGATGAGAAGATTGAGAAAGTGAGACAGAAAAGGAAGCTCCAGGTCAGGGTCTTTCTCGTTACTGAAAAGACTGGTATGTGTTTGGCCATTCCTTCCCTCCAAGAGCATCCTGAGGCACAGGGCTCCAGGTGCAGCTCATCACCTTGGCTGGGTTTGCAGCCACACGTGATGTGTTGCTGAACTGATAAGGATGCAGAATTATTAATGGTTAAAGTTAGGCAAAACCATGGATCTGTGAATGGGCTTGTAATAACAAGTCACCATCCCTGGAAGTGTTTAAGAAAAGACTGGACGTGGCATTGAATGCCATGGTCTAGTTGCCATGTTGGTGTTCAGTCATAGGTTGGACTCGATGATCTCAGAGGTCATTTCCAGCCTAAATTATTCCCTGATTCTGTAGCAAGGAATACAAGCTCACAAAGAATTGAAGTTCCTTTTTTACCCTTTATTTTGAAAGCTTTTCTATTTTTAAATCTTTTTTTAGGAAAGGGAAGCTAAACAAACAAAAGCGAGAGATGAAGATGCGGAGGCTGAGGATAATCAAACCACAAAGAGGGAATGTGAGGACTTCAGTAGGGATGACGAAGATGTGGAGTCTGAGTATTCACTGGATGATGAAAGTATCTTCACAAAAGCAGGTATTAGCAGTACACAGAGCGATGGTCAGGAGCAAGAGTCTGACAGACTGTGGGCTCACTGGAGAAAACTCTGTAGTGAAGCCTTGCTGGGAGTGGGCAAGAACCTTTTATATTTTGTTGTCTTCCTTCTGCAACATTCCTTCTGATTTTAATCAAGCCTAATTTGAATGGTAGCCATAGTACTTTAATTGAACTCGTCCCTTAGGAAGGATAACTTACTTGGCATTTTTACTCCATTGCATGCCTCTACTTGTTTCTGAGGCTTCTCCCTCAATAGCTCAGAGCAAAAAGTATGAGGTGAAGATAGTCACAATATCTTGTTACGTGTTTAGGTGTACTTGTTAGTATCTGTCACATTTCTCTTCCTCTGCAGATAAGGTCAAAGTGAAGGAACGGAGGAAATCAAAAAAGGGACAAGTGGTAAGTGTTGGACAGTAGTAAAATTCCTCCAGCGTTTCTTGTGGAGGAATTTGCTCTGGTTAACAAACTGTAGCTAAAAAATCAGCCCAGAGCCCTTTGATAACATGTTATGTTGCTGCCTGTGTTGTTTCAGTTTTGTTGTTGTTCCTGTTTCTAGGAAGCAGAGAGCTTTTTTGAAGATGCATCTCAATATGATGATAACTTGTCATTCCAGGACATGAATCTTTCACGACCTTTGCTAAAGGTATTTACCTAATTTATTTGTTATATACATTACTCTGAAGAAAGTTGTACAGCCTTTCCTCCACCAATTAGAACTTTCAAATTCCTCTTCTCCTTGCAACCACTTTGAAAAGGAAATTATGTGGGAGCTAGTGTGATAGTCTTTTAGGAGCTGTTGTTACAAATCAATGGAAACTGTTATTTGATTTGCAATGTGTCAACACTACCTTGAGCTAGACTTATCACAGAATGGTTGAGGTTGGAAGGGGCCTCTGAGGTCATCTTGTCCAAGCCCCTGCTCAAGCAGGGCCACCCAGAGCTGCTGCCCAGGAACGTGTCCAGATGGCTTTGAATTTCTCCAAGGATGGAGACTCCACAACCTCTCTGGGCACCCTGTGCCAGGGCTCGGTCACCCTCATGGGGAAAAGTAATTCTTGGTGTTCAGAGGGAACCTCCTGTGTTTGAGTTTGTGCCCATTGCCTCTGGTCCTGTCCCTGGGCACCACTGAAAAGAGCCTGGTTTCATCTTCTTTCCACCCTCCTGGCAGGTATTTATATACATTGACAAGTCTTCTCTTCTTCAGGCTGAACAGTCCCAGCTCTGTCAGCCTTTCCCTGTGTGTGAGGTGCTCCCAGGCCCTTCATAATCTTTGTGGCCCTTTGCTGGTCCCTCTCTCCAGCATGTCTGTGTCTCTTATACTCAGGAGCCCAGGGTTGGACGCAGTCATCCAGGTGTGGCCATACAAGAGACAGAGTTTAATTGCTGTATCTCCTTTGTAGGCAATCACAGCTCTCGGTTTCAAGCAACCAACTCCAATTCAGAAGGCTTGTATCCCAGTGGGTCTTCTGGGAAAGGATATTTGTGCCTGTGCTGCCACTGGGACAGGTAGGGGCTTGAGCAGGGCACCAGAACCATGGAGAATCAGCTATTCACAATAATTGCTAATTCTTTTTAATTTTTTTCTTTAGGTAAAACAGCTGCCTTCATCTTGCCTGTCCTTGAGCGCCTGATTTACAAACCTCGTCAGGCTCCAATAACACGTGTTTTGGTTCTTGTGCCAACACGAGAACTGGGTATTCAGGTGCACTCTGTCACAAAACAGCTGGCACAGTTCAGCAGTGTCACAACTTGCCTTGCAGTAGGTGAGTATTAAGTTGTTTATGTGAACTGTACAGCTCACTGTAAACCACTATAGGGAACTGGGAATTCCGTGTTGTGAAACTGGAGGCTGTACAGTTATTATGCTTCTAATAGATATGTTGTGGTTTAACATCTTACTTTCCAATATTGTGCTGTACTTGTTTGTTGGTGTCTGAGAAAGAAGATGTGGGGTCACTTCTATGTGTGAATGTGGTTTAATCTGAGTTTTTTCCCATTCCTCAGGCTGTTTGCATCCCTGTACTCTGCTGCAGCTGCTCGGGGGGTCAGCAGTCCGTGTTCTCTCTCTTTCAGGTGGCCTGGATGTGAAGACTCAGGAAGCAGCTCTGCGCTCTGGGCCAGACATTCTTATTGCCACTCCTGGGCGACTGATTGATCATCTCCACAACTGCCCTTCTTTCCACCTCAGCAGTGTTGAGGTGCTGATTTTGGATGAAGCAGACAGGTAGGGTCAGCAGGACAGCAGGGAAAAACATGGTAGTTTTCTCCTTCCCTTTTCCCAGGCTGTAGGGCTGTCTTTGTTGCCCTGCCTTAAGTAATGTTTCTTACCTATGACCAGTGAAGCTGCCTTAACCTTGCTGTTTTTCTCCTATGTAGGATGCTGGATGAGTACTTTGAGGAACAGATGAAGGAAATAATCAGGTTGTGCTCACACCACCGTCAGACAATGCTTTTCTCTGCCACAATGACAGAGGAGGTAAGACAAGCTGCAGAGAAGCGTACCGAGGCAGGAATTTGAATGGGAGTTTGCCTGGTCTCTTACCAGAAATCATGTGGACTTTTTTGTCCTTAACCTGTTTTTGTAGGTGAAAGATTTGGCTTCTGTTTCCCTGAAAAATCCCGTCCGAATTTTTGTGAACAGCAACACGGATGTTGCGCCTTTCCTGCGGCAGGAATTCATCCGGATCAGACCCAACCGAGAGGGGGACCGTGAGGCCATTGTAACAGGTTAGTGATGGGCAAAGACAGGCTGGAATCACTGAGTGACTACGAAGCGGGATTCTGAGGGGACTTTCTTTTAGCTCTCCTGACACGAACATTCCGAGATCACGTGATGCTGTTCACCCAGACCAAGAAGCAGGCTCACCGTATGCACATCCTGCTGGGACTGATGGGGCTGCGGGTCGGGGAGCTGCACGGGAACCTCTCTCAGGCACAGCGGCTGGAATCACTCAGGTATTAGCAGGCTTAGTTGGCAATCCTAGGCTAAAAAGAAGATCAAAGTTGGAAGTTTTGAGGCAGAAGCAGATTGCTACTTGCATTGCTAATGCATTTGCTTTCTCTGCTCAGGCGCTTTAAGGATGAGCAGATTGATATCCTGGTAGCTACAGACGTGGCTGCACGTGGACTTGATATTGAAGGTGTTAAAACAGTGAGTATTTGCAGTGCTGAGGTTTTTAATGATGCCTTTAACGTTGTTTCCCTGCTAACACCGTTTCTCTTACAGGTTATCAATTTTACCATGCCCAACACCACCAAACACTATGTCCATCGTGTGGGTCGGACAGCCAGAGCAGGCAAGGCTGGGCGTTCAGTCTCACTTGTGGGTGAGGAGGAGCGCAAGATGCTGAAGGATATTGTCAAGGCTGCTAAAACAGCAGTGAAGGCCAGAATTCTCCCCCAAGGTACACGCCTCACTGAGGTAAAAAGCAGGAGAGCAGTGCCCAGGGAATATCATGGTACAGGGGGACACTGAAAGAGGTGCTGAAAAACAAGAGGGACTTGACATGAGCTGCCTCTGATGTTCACACGGTATTGCTTTCAGATGTCATATTAAAATTTCGAGAGAAGATTGAGAATCTAGAGAAAGATATCTATGCAGTTCTGTGCTTGGAGCGTGAGGAACGTGAGATGCAGCAGTCAGAGGCCCAGGTAAGCTTGTTTTTTTAGGAAATTTTTTTTTAGGATCTAGTGTAGATATAGTCCATAATGAGGTTACCCTAAATGTACTTAACCTGCTTACTGTAGAAGGGAAAGAGACAAGTATTTTTTATCCACCGTGAGCTCACCTCTTTCCTAAATTATCTCAGATCAATAAGGCAAAGAAGCAGCTGGAGACAGGAAAAAAAGAGACTGGAGGTGAGAGTTTGGAGCGGAGCTGGTTCCAGACCCGTGAAGAGAGGAAGAAGGAGAAATGTGAGTCATGACACTGCTGCCATGTTAAATTCTGTAGCTGCAACTGGCCTCTGCTCTCTGCTTTAGGAGGTTCTTTATTCTGTTTCTCTTTCCAGTGGCTAAAGCCCTGCAGGAATTTGACCTAGCATTGCGGGGGAAAAAGAAAAGGAAGAAATTTATGCAGGACACACAGAAAAAAGCCCAAATGACTGTGAGTACATTTATGGACAAGTGGGACCCTGGGTGGACTGTCAGAGTTTTCCCTTAGCAAAACCTCACATCACTGCAAAGTTGCATTTTAACATCTTTCAGCCAGAGGAAAGGTCACAGTTTGAAATCTTGAAATCTCAAATGTATGCTGAGCGTCTGGCCAAGAGGAATCGCCGAGCAAAGAGAGCCAGAGCCTTGCCAGAAGAGGAACCAGCAGCAGTACTAGCAGGTAGAGACTTGTTTTACAGCTGACTTACCTTATGTCACTTACTTTGCTAGAAATAGGTAAATTAAACTAGTTTGTGTAGAGGGAGGCATTGCTCTTTGAAGGAATGGCCACCAGTGCTGGCCAGGGTGCATGTTTGCAGAGAGCAGTGATCGCTCTTCCTGATGGTTAGGCTACTTGTTGTGGTCAAGAGGACTGGGATGATGCTGTGGCCTTCCATTTACAACCATTGTTCTGAATATTGTCTCTTAGGCCCTAAGAAGAAGAAAAAAGTGTCTGTGTTTGATGAAGAGCTGACCAACACCAGCAGGAAGGCTCTGAAGCAGTACCGTGCCGGGTAAGGTCTTAGCAGTATTACCTTAGTCCAGACTTCAGTAGATGAGATTTTTGCATCTCTGGACTTCCTCAGGGATACTTTGACTGATACTGGGAGAAAAGGTGGGCAGGGTTCTTTTGAGAAGTACTGTGCTTGATATAGTTCTTGCTGTCTTACCTCTCCTCCTTCCCCTCTCTCTCAAAAGCCCTTCGTTTGAGGATCGAAAACGTCTGGGTATTGCCCAGCGCAGGAAAGGAGGAAACTTCAAATCCAAGTCCAGGTATAGCTCCCTTTACTTTCTTACTCAAGTTTGGTTTGTTTTTTTTCCCCTGCTTTCTTTTTTCTTCTTCTTGTGATTGCTTGAAGGCCCTTGCTAAAAGGTTTGTTGGTTCTACAGTACTTACCTTCCTACTGCAGGTCTGGGGGCAATCAAGGACACTGCCTTTAATAGCACATTCCTAAGCTTCTACTTGGGAAAATACCTGGAAAATACTCAGTGTTGCTCCTCATCTGTCACTGAGAGTTGGGCTGGAGTGGAATGTCATTTCAATTATCTTCTCTTTCAGGTACAAGAGGAAGTAAGAAGTGTTGGCAGTTACCAGACAGGTAATTTCAGACATGCTCTGTACAGAGCCTGGATTTCTTTGTACTGCAAGGAGACAACTTCAGTAAAGTTGAACGTTTTCTTCAAGGTCTGGAATAGCTTTGGGATATTTGCCAATACTTGGTTGAAGACCCTGTGTTAAAACATCTGTAGCAGCCCATGCAATAAAGAATTATATCTTTTTGGAGGTTTACTCTGTTTTATAGCACAGCTGGAACACCTGAGAGCTGGGATCTGTTACATCTTTCTATCAGACTTTTAGTTCATGTAAGTTAAGTTGTCTTTAGGGCAAAAACTGAACAGTTCATATACTTCTGTGATCTCAATTAATTAATAGAGCTGAAAAGGATTTCTGTTGTTGAGAGCCTATTCTTGTAATAGGAAAAAAAAGTTTTTCAGACTGTTACAAAGATGGCTTTGGAGGTGACAGTCACAGGAATTACAACAAATCTCCAACAGGCTGCTATCTGAAGGAATTATTATGTCCAAGGTGGGCAGAGTGGGCAGCTTCCTCCTAACTCCCAATGAAAGCAGCTGTAAGCTGAGGCAAAATGGAAGACTATAACCAGAATGGGGGCTGCTGTATTTTATTGTATATAATGATAGGTTTGCTCATCCTGGTTTTTGGTGTTGTCTTTTTACTAGAAGGAACGCAGATCCTCCTATAAAGACCAAACAGGTTTACTGCAGCCTTGATGCAAAACATCATAAATCACTATTCTTAACCCAGGTTTGTTGTGAATAAAGCAGGGACCATTCTGATCAATAGGCCATACTTAGTTTCATTTAAATGTTAAATCTTTCTAGGAATTTTTACCATCTCCACTGTCCCAACCTTTTTTTTTTTCCCCATCAGCCTTGGTAAATGTCAATGTTATGGTTTAATTCCCCTAAGGAACACAGACCAACTGTTTGTTTCTGAGCTGTCTATACAAATTGAGCTTTTTGCCTCAAACCTGCTCTTCTGGGATGACCATAGTGCACCAATAAAAAATAACAGCTACACTCCTGAAATAAACAGACCAGTACAACAGTGACTCCCAAGTATTGGGTTTTCCAACTTTATTAAAAAGGGCAACGTTGACAAGCAGTAAATATAAAATATACATTACAAAGGTTTGAGAGGTGGTACTGCTCGATGTATCCCCTTACTTAGGTCTTCTCACAGTTCAAAGGTACATCATTGATTAATCTCACGGTCTTGGTGGACGCATGCCAGGTGGAGGGGGTCCTGGGAATAAAGGAAAGAGTTGAAGAGGAAAGAAGCAGCAAGGCTAAACCAAAAAGACATTTTCCCTGTGCCCAGTGTAGCCTTAGGACCCCTTTTTTTTGGCACCAAAGCCCTTACTGTCAACTAGCAGAGCTAGGGAGACATTGGAATGCATCACCCTTCAAACATCTTACAGCTTCTTATAGTTTCTAGCCAGGATAACCTGCACTCACCTCTCATTCCTGGGGGTGGTGGTCTCATTCCTGGTGGGGGCATTCCCATAGGAGCACCTCGGCCAGGTGGCATTCCCATTGGTGGGCCCATGGGTGGTCTCATGCCCGGAGGAGGTCCCATCATTCCTGAAGCCCGAGAAAAACCAAAGCATGTAAATCCAGCTGAATATTCAAGGCACTAGCTGGACATCAGGATATCCTCCATAATACCAGTTCTTCATCAGACTGGGTTAACTACCTCTTTATCACCAATTCTGCCACAGAACATGAGCTCCTTGCTACCCCACTGTACAGAGTGACTCCTACCTGGAGGAGGGGCTCCTCTGCTCATGGGTGGGGGAGGACCCCCACGCCCTGGGGTGTACTGAGTTGGGGCTCCTGCAATGCTGGCAGTGGCTGCTGCAGCAGCAGCTGCGACTGTTCCACGGCCCTGGGGTGTCATCACCTGCAGACAAAATAAACAGGCTCACAGAAAAACAGCAAAACATCTGCTTTGTATTAATAACTAAAGTATAAGCAACACTGAAACTCCCCTTCAGAAAAATCACACCGGCCTCCTCTAACGTATTAAATGACACTACAAACTTATAATACAATTCAAAGGATACCACTTGAGTTATGTGCAAAAAGCTGCATTTTTCAACCCTCTTCTTCATCATATAAGAGAGTTCCTAGGGCAATCTAGCACCAAAAAGCCTCGCTAGGCTCAAACTTCATGGTAACGGATTTCTTACATCACACTGGTACCAAAAAATAAAAGCCATATGGGTCACAGCATCTCACCTGTTGGGATGGTCCTCCCACTCCTCTGACAGGGCCAGCTAATCCTGCTGGAGCCTGTGGCATGGGAGCACCAGCTGGTACTCCCCTCCCTGCTGCTCTCCCAACTCCAGGTCCTCCGGCAGCGCCAGCAAGAGGAACCCGTGCAATTCCAGTCTGAAAAGAGAGCCCCCCAAAAGAAAGATTTATCAAAATTAAAGTCCTCAGGTCCTAGGGATGCCCACAGCCCTCCTCTGTCCAATTAAACATCCAAGCCCACAAAGGAACAAGAGCTTCCTGCAGTGAAATTTGTCGGACCTAGTCACAACAGCATCTGGAAGGCTAGAACAGCACAACAGTAGCATTCCCCTGCAAGGAAGCAAATATATCGGATATCCCTTCTCTTTCTGCTTAGTTCTGTGCTCATTCTTACATCTTTTGGAGGTGGTCCTTCAACTGTCATGGATACCAGGTTTTCCCCTCGCAGCAACACAAGACCAAGGACTCGTTTCTCTTCCCGCTCTGGTTGTTTTGAATTTTTAGGTCTGGTGAGAAGAAAACATTGCAAAACAGAAGAAGAAAAAAAAAATGAATGAACGATGCTCCTTGAATTTACAACAGGATATATATGACTAGGCTGCTTCTCCAGAGAGGAGAGCCCACCACAAAAATCACGTTTTTATATGCCTCAAACTAAGTATATAGAGAAGTCTAAACCGTTACAACTGCCATCACAGAGCGGTATATTTTGGTTATCTGGAGAGAACTGAAGCAATGTGCGATGATAGTTTGGGGATTTGCCCAGTAAGACTAAACGCATGAGTGTTCCAGCAGACGATGCCCCGGCTCTCGCCCCGAGGCCCCTCCGCAGGACCGGGGGCCCCGCCCGCCGGCCCCGCCGCTCACTTGATCTTGCGGAACTCGTCGCAGTCGCAGAGGATGAGGTTCATGTGCTTGTCGAAGGCCTTGAACGTGCCGATGAAGACGCGCCCGTCCTGCAGGATGCACCGCATGCGGTAGTCGATGTGCTGCAGCATCTTGCTGCTCTTGCCCACCGTCTGCAAAGAGACCGCCGGGTTAACCCGCGGGCCGAGCGGGGCTCGCCCCATCCCCATCGCCCTCCCCGCGGGGGCTCACCATGGCTGCGGCTCTCGGTGCTCCCTCCCGCCGCCGCCAACACCGCTCCCGCCGCGCCCCCTGGCCCCGCACACACGGCGCAAGCTCCGACGCGCGGACACCGCGACTTCCGCCCGCCCTGCGCGGGCACCGCCCGTTCCGGCGCTCCGCGGACGCGCTTCCCGGGGCGGGACGGACGCGGCGGGGCGGGGGCTGCGCGGAGCTCCGCGGCCCCGCTGTCGGGGCAGAGGGAGCCGAGCGCGGCCGCGCCGCCGCCCCAGAGCCCCGCGCCGGCCCGGGCGCCCGCCCTGCATGAGCCCCGGCGGCCCCTGGCGCTCGCAGCCGCGCCCGGAGGCGGCGCCCCGTGGGCACGGGGAGCTGACGTGAGCCCTCCCGCGGCGGCCCCGCAGGCGAGGAGGGACGGGGGACGCTCGGTCAGAGGGACTGAGGAGGCTGCCGACACCCGGGGTGGGGTGGGGGGGTTGCCGCTGGGGGTGGCGGGGCCGGCGGGTCGTGCCGCTGCGGGCGGGCGGGCTCGGGTGTCCATGTTCTCCGTGTTCTCCGTGTTCTCCATGTTATCCATGTTCTCCGTGGTCTCCATGGCAGCGCGGCGGGCGCATGACGCGCCCATGGGCGGTGCCGGGGCGGCCGGAGCGCGGAGCGGCCGCGGCGGGTCCGGGTGAGCGCGGGCGGGGATGCGGATGGGGATGGGGAGCCGCAGCCGTCGGGGCAGCGCCTCGAACCGCGAGTCTGCTGCCTCCCCAGACCCCGCTGCCTCCCCAGACCCCGCTGCCTCCCCAGACCCCGCTGCCTCCCCAGGTTCCGGCTCCGGGGGTCGCCCGCCCGTCCCCGCAGCTCCCGCTGTGCATCCCCGGCTGCCCCCGGAGGGGCGAGTCCGCCGCTCCCTCGGGGCCCGAGGCACGGCACGGACAGCGCTTTGCAGAAAAAAAAAAAAATCGTTTAGCACCTTAAATCGGGCTTTGGCCCAAGCTTCAGGAGGGGCCGACTCGCTGTCGGCTTTCAGCTCACATGACCGATTAAAAATAATTAAAAAAGCAGTTCTCTTTTTGCCTGTTGCTGTCGGTTTCTGTCTTTGCCAGGATGTGGCCTGTGCCAAGCTGTGTTGGAATGTGCTCGACCAGAGCACGTAGGCTTAGTGTTGTACAGCCAAAGTGCAGCTATGGAAGGCCTTTGGAGGAACGTGAGATTCCAGAGATGGATTCTGAGCCATTTGGTTCTTTGGTTCCTCTGGTGAAAGATGTTTCTTATTGCTTGTTATGTGAGGTAGCATAGAAAGAAAACTGTGTAGCCCTGGGGTTGGACTCTGCTGCCTACTACACTTTCATGCTGCTTGGCCAAGGTGTCTTCTCTACACACCTGTCCAGTTAGTCCTTCTGCCAACATCACTTCCACCTTTCCCTTGGCCTGTTGGCTCCGTCTGGGGACTTTCTGAGATCTGACTGGGGTGTTTTGTTGCATCTACAGGTTTCAGAAGCTGCATCTATTTGCTTGTTGACTGGGTGACTCTACCAGGCAGCTTTTCTTTTTCAGGGAATGTTCTTTCATCCTCCTCATTTTCATTCTGTGTGCAGCACACTTTGTTCTCTATCTGTAATGAAAAGAAGATTGAGTTTGTGAATAGGGAAGTTCTGCTTAAAATACTCCAGTTGTTTTAGCTTGCAGCTTCTCAGAAGTCTCTTGAATAGTGTGTTTTTAGTGGTTGTGCTGATTTCTTGCCCTGCAGCTACCCCTGCACCACTGCTTTGTATGACAGAGCTCACTCTGCAGAAGCAGGGGGAATTAATTTTTGATGGATTTCGGCTTGGCTGCTGTCTCCCTCTGTAAAACTGTGGGAATTGTTTACATGCTGTTGTTGTGAAGAATGTGCTGTGAGAGACCTATAAGTAACTGATAATCACAATTATGGAAAATCACAGTCTGTGCTTCATGGGAGATTCTGAACAGTCATTTTATCAGCTCTATCACTATTGCACTGCAAAATATCCATTGTAAAACTGAACATCTGATGCCTCTCTTGTCTGCAGACATGCAGTGAAATCGTTTCAAAGCATACTTTTGGCAGACAACCTGGTGCTAAGAGGCTGACCTGAAGTACCCTTTGTATTCATAGTCCACTCTTCATTTTCCTCTTCTGGAAAGCTGCTCCTGCTGAGCCACTGATCCGTGTGGGTTCTTCAAAGGATTGTTTGACCCAGGCTGTTTGAAGAGTTTCCTACCTTTTTTAATTTTTAATTCTTACTTCTCTGGGTTCTGCTTAGCCAATTCCTCTTGGTCTTCAAATCTCTGCCTTAGTAGAGATACCTGGTGTCTGTTCCGTGGTGCTGCTGTGCAAAGAAACAGTCTTTAAGCTCTATTTGTTTCGCTGTGTATTTGCTGTGCCTTGAATACTGATTGAAACATGGTTGCCAGTCGTGAGTGGGTGCTCATTTATGGAAGAAATTTGGGGCAGAAATAGTCTTAAAGATCATGGTGAATTACTTTGCATTTGTATGCAGCTGAGAGCTTTTTTTTTTTTTTTTGAGATATCAAGGGAGTGCAACACAGCTTGGCTGGTCCCTGTTTTCAGTGGTGAGGATATCAGGGAAGCTGCAGGTAGAGTGCATGGATTCTGGGAGCTGTGGGCCAACCTCTGCAGTACTTTTTTTATGGAACAGGACATTTATATGGCATTTAGGGGCATGTTTTAGTGGTGGGCTGT